ACGCGCCTCGTCGGGCCTGTATGGTATGGTTATGGCGCGTGCGCGTCACGCGTCGGGCAGCCTCCGGACTATCAAGCTACCTTCGGGTGGCCATCAGGCATGAAGGGAAGATATTACACGTATCGTCACAAGTAAATTACCATTTACTCCGTGTTTGCAATTTCGTCCTCTTGTGCTTCGTACCGCATACATAAAATGTAGATGGTAATACCAATCCCTGGCTCCCCCTCCTCCCTTACTAGCCTAGCACAGACTGAGTAGGCATGCGGGTCCCTTGATGCTGCCCAGTGAACGGTATCGACGCTACATCTGTTAGACCCATGGGGATTCATCCCTTGCTCAAACCCACCCAATCAGCCGGCGAATTTTGCAGATCATGGGTCCCTTGGTCAATTGATGAAAGCAGTTTGGAGTCTGGACTCTGGTGGCATGCACTTGATATATTATTATAAATTCCCAGCCTACCAAATACAGTCTAGGCTACCGAACACAGTTCTACTCATTCGTTATGAAAATTGTAACTGACGAGGATACCGTATCCACACTCCCACCCTTCTGGAAGCACTTAGGCTACGTATTACTTCGCTACCACAAACATTCTCCGACTTCACGATGATACTAGTAGCCCACTACGGCCCTAGCTTCCTTGAAACCCTGTTCACAATCTAAGTAAAGCGCTACTGAACTCATTGAACAGCACACATAAGCCACATGAACAATTTATGCCATCCAGGGATGATTACCTCACCTCCCTCCCAGAAGAAGCAGCGAATACCGAGCTAGGGACTTGCAATGATGCGGCTTGTCTAAGACAATGCAGCGACCGAGGCGTAAGCAACCACTTACTGCTGTGAGCCATGCACTTAGGGGCTTTGAATTGCCGCCCCCACCCACTCGCCTTTCCTTTTCCCTACATTTTCTTATCAAAGCTCTTAGGTACTGTGAATCGGTCTCGCTATATAATAACTACAACACCCGCGGAGCTAGAAGGAAGTCAAGCTAAGAGTGCCATAGTGGCGCTAGGATTGACCCTACTTATACGTAAGTTAGCACCTATCTAAGTTCTATAGATTATAGAACCGCCGTCTGAATATCTGAAATGTCTACATGTTACAATACCCTCGAAGGGCCGTGAACTTACATACAAACAATTTGTAAACGTATGTTGTAACCGGCATGATTTGCTCCTACTCTTATATCCAGGATCTACCCCAAACTACTGTATCCACTACTATATCATCGTATATTCTTTTCCTCGTGCAAGGTTGTTGTTGAGCAATGTGAGAAATAAACCTCGCATGCACCGTTGTGAACATGACTTTTGTTGGACCTGCAGGAACTATGCATATACTGATCATTACTGTAAGCAGAATTAAGTCCGGAACTCGCTATATAAGCCTTTCTGACAGATAACTATTCAGCAATGTGATAAACATGCCGAAAGAAGCTTGGGAAGCATTCCTTTAGAATAGTGGGAAAGGTCTTGCAAGAAGATGAAGCTCTATATAATAGACAATAAGGACAGATAAATCAAAAAAAAGTATAATGGTAAGCCAACCCCAGTACACCAAAGAAAATAAACTTGACGCCGATGCATGAACAACCTGAAGCATACAAGAAAAGTCATAAATCTATCTGCATTAGACAAACCTGCAACCGAAGAAGGAAAGGAAAGAATATAGAAAGGAAGAAAAGAAGCATGAATCAACTACACAGCTGTTTATATGCACGTGACTCTTGTAGTTTGGGGAGACATAAGAGTGATAATGGACATCATAGCGTTAGGGGCGGACACAATATCTGGAAGGTAGCGCGACGCAAATGTATAAGGGAACAAAAAGAGCACTTTTAGTCCAAGAATGTGAACATGCTGGTGTGGATGATATTTAGGGCACGATCAGCGTCTCTTTCTTCTATGACACACGAGATGTTGATCTCACTTGCACCTTCAGGGCGGTATATCATCAGTCGGTGTTCAAGACGCAAAGGTGAAAGCGAGACTTACCCTGGGAAATCATCTCTATATTGACATTGTTCTCACCTAGGGTAGAAAACATGCGGCCAGCTACTCCGATCATATTTTTCATCTGTTTTCCGACAAGACTAAGGATTGCCATCTCGGGGATGATATCAACTGTACCATATCTCTGCAGGTCGCGCAAAGCACCTTTGAGATCTTCATCGATTACCTGGTATTCATCCCTCCCAACTCCGTTTAGGAGAGGCATTTCCGAATGAAGAGCCATCGAGACATGAACCTCACTTGTAGATATCAAATCGATAGAAAGTCTCCACCTGTCGAGGACGGAGAATATCCCAGCGAAGAATCCATGTGAGAGCGAACGTTTGTTGGAATGTACATTAATCACCAATATCTTGTGCTTGATCGTTACCGCCGTTGGGCGTTTAGGCCGCTGCACAAGACTAGGGCTGCGGGTACGGAATAGTCTCGGATCATGACCTGGGGTTGTCTTCTCCAGTTCAAAAGTGGAGTCTGGAAAGATCACGGTGCCATCACCTCTTGGGTTCATAACATTCTTTATGCGAATTGGAATCTTGGCACGGATGACTTGCTCCATAGTGAAGGGATGGATCACCTCCGAACCATAGAATGTCAGTTCAGCTGCCTCGGCTGGTGTGATTGCAGGTAAAAGGCGTGCAGTAGGCACTTTCCGGGGATCTGCGGTGAATATTCCATCAACCTCTTTCCAGACTTGGAGTTCCTTGGCATCTATTCCAACAGCAACGAGGGCGGCGCAAAGATCAGTATAACCGCGGCCAATTTGATCGAGGAGGCCACCGGGTACGGTTCCGAAAAAACCAGTAACAACTGGCACTTTGTTCTCACAGGCCCGAATCTTTCGGCCAAGAGCTGCAGCGAGATTATTGTAGAAGTCCTGGTCGAGACCCTGATTCGAGATAGGAAAATCGATGACCTCAGCTAGATCCACGTACTGCGAATCCACCCCGCGGTCCTGAATATAAGCGGCCATGAGGCGACAACTGAGTTTTTCTCCTGTACTAATCACTTTATCCACGCATCGTGCGCTTATCTCTCCTAAAGTTTGTGCAGCCTCCAGGACTCGAAGTACTTTGTCGCATTCGTTGTTTATCTCTGAAATGAGCCGGGACTTAAGTACCTTGGACTGGATTTGTTCGTCAACAACCTGGATATGTTCGAGCCGGACTGCCTCAACAAGGGAAGCATATTCTTGTGATAGAGCGTCTTCCGCATCCCGAGCTGCTCGCAAAAGGCTGCGTTATATAATAGGTTAGTCCGAATGGTAACTCTATTCTAACAGGATCTGGAAGTCGTAGAGACATTGCGGGCAGGAGCTGGACAGGCTATGTAAAGATCTCTTGGGATTTGGAACACAGGGGTTATGACTCACCGGTTTGTGGTTCCTGCAGCCTTCGTTGAACTACTCCTTGCCGAACAAACTATAGCCACGCGATGTTCGAGTAGACTTGGTCTGATTCAGAGCCGTTGTTAGCAAATACGGCGAAATTTAGAAGGATGTTCAGAGGGCGATTATACTGACAATACCACTTGGTCAATGATGTTCAATGCGAATTTCCCAACACTGGTACCTCCAAACTTCTGCACAACCCAATTGCTATCCGGTGAGTCTTTTGACTCATACCTGGCAACTTCCAAAGGATCGTTCTGGTTTTGCTGATGATCATCCATCTTTGGGTCGCTCGAACAGCACGTTGAAGCCTTGCAATTGAGAGATGACACACCCACGCAATTGGCTCCGGTAGCGGGACAGCCTTTTTTATGTGCACTGGCGGGGTTGCGAAAGCGGAGCTCATGCCGATGAAATGTAGAACGAATGGTCGTTCGCCATTTTGTTTCTCCGCCTTCCTTTTGCGGGTACACATTATCAGAACTCAATTATTACTAATCGAAGATAAACGTTGAGTCAGAGAACAAAAGTACTAACTAATGTACCAAAGCAGTCTAGTTCTTTCCGAGTTTGCATACGCCCCGTTTCATAAAGTAAACTATCCTCTAACCATGTGTTCTCATATCAAAGAGATGGGAGAATGGCATCAATCAGAAAACAGTTTGAATTCTCAGTTGGACCACTTGGTGCTATGTTGAACTATCATGTTTATCTATAACAAATTGTATTAGACATTCTATCTGGCTGATCATTTTTGGCCATCAATACAAAAGCTTTATAGGCATCAAAATTCTTTTCAAGGACGAATCTATGATACCTGTAATCATGCTTGCGCTCAGATATAATGACTCTCTCATACGGAGATGGCTCAACAGCAGAGTACAGGTGGTTGATTTGGCTGTTTGGTCGCGGATTATGGTATCGCCCATTTAGGGTCCCACGTTTCTAATTTCCCTTGGTATTGCTATGTGCAGCAGGTTGTATTATAGAACTAGCGAGGTGTGACTTTTCAATGAGATCCGTTCAGTATGCTACCTGTTATCGATAGAAAAGATACTCTGTACTGTTTTACCATCAGAAAGACAGATTCGTCTATATTGATATGTGCAAGAAGGGGTGCATCAAATCTACTGTGTGATATATATTAAGTAGTAGTAATATTTCATCGGCGGAAATATTAATATACTCCGTATTTCCTGCCTACTTACAGTAGCAAACGAACTACATCTTGATTTGCTGGTAGCAAGTCGGGAAGAATAACCGATATGGATATGAGGCTAATATTACCCGTAATGGTATTGTTTTCTAATACCAGAGAGTCCGCAAGGCCAAACTTTCATTCATTCTCAATTGTTGGGCTCTTGGCCACACCCCAGTACACCGTCGGAGTAAGTAATGGTTATAAGGAAAGATAGATTCTATATCATTTTAACATAAGTTGTCTCAGTTGGGCCTCGATCTTCGCATCTAACCTACTTGGCACATGATTTTGTGGTTGAGTTAGGTGGGCCTACGATGGTTGCCTATTTAGCCAACTGTCAATTTTGTCTATTTTCTGGCCCTAGTCGGCTCCCAATCACCTCTTCCAAGTTGCTGAAACACATATACTAACCTTAACTTACAAGAACGCGGAGCTGTTTTCATTTCATCTTGAGGTAATCCTTGGAGCGGTTACAATAAAAAGCTGGCTGCCATGGACCAGATGAATCATAGTGATCCAGCGTGTCCCTTTTGTCCATTTTCTGATCCGGACATTAGCCGTGTTGTAGAGCATGTGGATGTTTATCACCCTGAAGTGGATACTCAGGCTGAGCATAGCAGACGGCCGGCAAATGCACCTTCAACTGGAACAGGAGAATGTCCAGGAGATTATGCCGAGTGTCCGCACGGCTGTGGGGAAATAGTACTCGACACTGAACTCGCCGCCCACCTCGACTTGCATTTTGCGGAAACAGTTGCCTTTGAAGACATATCTTCACACCAGCCAGAGTTGCCTGTTGACGTGGAGAGTCCAGTGTCAAGCCACGATTCAGAGAGACGGGAACGGTTGAAAGAGCGCACTCCCGGGCTGCTACCCAATGAAGATAGAACGCCTTCGCCGTGGTCATTGGTCGGCGGCACAAAAACACCGCACAGAGAGACAGCTAAGCGGCTTGGAGTACGAAATCCTCACTTACCCTTTATACATCATAGAGCGCGTTGTGCTGACACTCAACCTAGCGTACGGAGTTAGGGCCTCATGCTCACGAAAAGCAGATGCCATCATGGCTGCGAAGAATGTTAGAGAGGGGTTCTATGTCAATCTTCACAAACACAATTGCCTCAGACGGCACGCTTCGGAGGCGCGAAGCTGTCGAAAACGAGACGCGCGATGTCATCCCGGTGCTCGCTCGGTTGTGTGAGCAGGACAAATCCGTCCAACGTGCTTTTTTCTGCAGCCCAAAGGTCCATCAGATCTCCAAGATCCCCAAAGAAGGAGGATTTTGCGGCTATAGGAACATCCAAATGCTAATCACCTTTTTGAAAGAAACCCAACTTCCGGGGCATGAGCGCTTCCCAACGGAACTACCCACGATCTTCCAACTACAAGATATGATCGAAGATGCGTGGGACAAGGGTTTCAATAGTGTAGGGAGGGTCGAAACAGGAGGTATCCGAGGAACTAGGAAGTACATTGGCACGCCAGAGGTATGATGACCATGAACGTAATCTTATGGTTGCAATTGATTCATTACTCTATAGGCACAAGCCCTGTTCTCGAGTCTCGGCATACAGTAAGACTCCTTCTCCAAATTGCGAAGCGCTGCTTTAACAACCCACAGGTGCGAAGCAAACAGCATTGGTGCCTCGAAGGAAGTGCGTGCACATGACGCATTATATATGAATGTTGCGGCTTATTTTCGAGAATCATGTGTTTTGGAGGAAGGGAAAAAAGTCATGCAGACGAACTTGCCCCCCATTTACTTCCAGCACCAGGGTTTGAAGACCTCTTTCTTCGTGATATGTGACCTGTCTAATTGGTGGACGGACATAAACAGGACATTCCATGACCATTATCGGCTTCGAAATACGTGACGGTGGTAGCGCAGACATACTAGTTTTCGATCCTATGTTCCGAACACCCCCAGCAGTGAAGCGCCTTAGGGGGGCACAAGCACTGACGTCGGACCCTGCACGCGTATTGAAGGCATACAGACGAGGCACAGCATATTTGCAGAAGTACAAGGCATTTGAGCTTCTAAAGTAAGTATGATAGAAGAGGCGACCAATATGGTGACGATGCAGTAATAGCTTACCAGATTGCTTCCAGACTAAAATATTCCGCCAATTCGTCTAGCAAATAGCACTGCAAACTAGCGCGGCATGACATCAAGCCGCAAAACAGCAACAGTTCTTTGGCCTTCCAGTGTGAAGCGCACATCACGACATGCCTAGTTTGCCATTTCCCACTATCATGAGCATGGGCATGACTCGTCAGGTAGCCGCTATACGTCAGCTCAACAAGTAGCATCATGCTCAAGAGGAAAGTTACCAGGTTTAAGTTTTCACGTGCATTGTACCACATTGTAAGAACTCAAGCCACCCGGCGAGCTCTACATATCACTAATTTTATCAGGGTTACATATGAGCTAGCACTTTCTGAGTACTATAGTGCCTATTCGTGCAATATAAATTATATGAGCACGGCAGCTTCGACCAACTAGATAACGATAACGAATCATGTAGCACCGGGTAACTTATGGAGATATCGGGAAGTTTGATAATCCGAAGCTGTACTGATTACTTACCCCACGGAAATTTTCCCCTCACTGTTGAAACTTTATCGGCCTTTATCGGGCAAATTGAAAGAAATACCCATTCACGTCGCACATTTTTATAAGGCATAATGCGGACATCTCCAAATGTGATAATAACAGGCACGCCCGGCGTAGGAAAAACCGTCCATTGCGAACAATTGGCCGAGGAGACAGGTCTGCGGCATCTTTCAATCAACCATGTCGCAAAAGAGCGAGACTGCTACGAGACATATGACCACGAATTACAAACCTGGGTTGTGGACGAGGACAAAGTACGTTCATGTAACGCTTATATAGTCTGGTTTCCAGTCTCCTCACGTTTACCTAACATACATATTGCAGCTCCTGGACGCTATCGAGGATCAAGTACTTCAAGGTGGCTATCTAATTGACTGGCATGCATGCGATCTATTCCCCAAGTCATGGATTGATTTGGTCGTTGTGTTACGCTGCCCATCTACTGCTGTTCATTATGATCGTCTCGCATCAAGGTACACCACAAGGACTATAAGCCATCCGCTCCCACCCCCGCCCTCCCCCTTTATTATTAGCTGAAAAATCTAATTGAAGCTTATCGATTTACAGGGGATACAATGAGACGAAGCTGCAGGAAAATTTAGATGCCGAAATATTTGGTGTTTTGCTTGACGAAGCTCGAGAAGCCTTCGACGAGGAATTAGTGGTTGAATTGAATAGTGAAAGGGATGATGATGTAGAGTCCAACTGCGCAAGGATTTCTAGCTGGGTACAATCTTGGAAAAATGACCGAGCCTGAGATCTCGATTTACCTACGGCAATCCGGGGGAGGGGGCGGCCGAAACGGACACCAATTCGCACCGTGAAATTTGCAGTTTATATCAATCACGTCTGTCGACCAGCCAATCTTGCAACTTGACCAGGGCTTTATATCTGTGTGAGATGAGGTTCTGCTCCAGTATTAGTGGCTGATTGAAGAATTTGATGGGACAATTCCATTACCTTCTCCTCTTTGTCCATTTCAGCGTAAGTCTTGCCACGATACTCGAAAATCGGATCCCAGCCTGGGAGGAGCTAGTGAGCATTGATGTTTGTAACTAATAGTCGCCTGTACATACCAAAATTCGCAGGACCTCTTGGTCTCACGATAGCTCCCTTGCGATGCGTCAGCTTCTGACAGGGTAGGTGGAGTTGGCACTCAATCCTACCTCAGTTCTACCCTGGAATAAGATTGGATCCGAACCGGGTCCGCTGGAAAAGGCAAAGGTGCAGACAGCCTCTGCGGCTCTGGTCTCAAATGAGTCAAGCAATTTATTCAGGCCTTCATGGCCTAGGGCATCGAGGAATGATTTGCTAGGTAGAATTATTAGGAGAGTTAGTATGCTTAGGTGAGGGAAGACATACATGTATGGGCCAGGCAGTCCGTTAAGAGCGTGAAACTCAAGTGCAGTATCTTCCGTCAACACCGGGCCTCCGACCTGACCGAAGTGAGTCAGTGTCTTTGAGCTGTGCGGATTCTGCCTTCTGCGATGTCACTCACCACTTCTGCTGCACGTCGACATTTCTCCCGGGCAATCTCTTCTATCGTGCCCTGTATCTCAGGAAGGTCAACTGCTTGATTTTCAACGTCGATCACAGTCCCTAATATCGCTTTCACTTCTGCTAGCTTGTTTTTGTTGCCGGTGATGAAGTTTATTTTTTTCATTGAGGCCATCTTTGCGTAGGCCGAACGGATTCTTACTAGGGGCAACAAGGAAAAAAAAAAACTAGATAGTGGGTTGTTCGTTGACAGACTGCAGACGAAGAGGAACGGATAGACGGGGGTGCGCTAGATATATATATACCTGTTCCGCCGAGGGTTCGTTCAATCCTCCAACGCTTAAGATTCTTGTTTCCCCGCAGCCCCACCAGGCGGTAGTGTGGTTCAATTGCAATGGAGCAACAACTTAAGAGGGGCCTTCATTCGGCTGCCTACAGAGATGTACTATAATATAAACTGGCTAGCACAATACAAACGCTCATCATCATGGTTTCTATGAAATTGCTAGTACTCCGTTGTTCATATACAAGGTCTATTCCATCGTCGCCGCGCCGCTTTCCGTCATCTCCAGCCTCTCTTGCTGAGCCATTGCTTGGGCAGATACGATTTCAGCCAGCCGCTTTAGCCGCGGCGTTTGAAGCCCTTCAGAGACCGTTAGCATCACTCGGTGCATTTTCCGCTGAAGCTCACTTACATGACGGGGTGTATGTCTCCAAGGCTGTTATAACACGTGGCTCCGCAATCTCATACGGCCCACTATCTTCCATGTCAACTGGTGTCAGGAGGAGAACATCACTCTTCTCGGTGACACGGGAGGCTACGGCTTTCATGATTTCACCATTGATAGGTTGCTCATAGTCAGCCACGAGATACTGATTCAGAAGTTTCTGGATTTGGTTTGGCGAGAGCCTAAACCTGTCAGTACTGCATGGAATTTCAGCAGGACAAAGTTGACCGGAACTCACATCCAACAAATATCTTGAATAATCTCGATGTCATTCAAGGTGGCCTTCTTCAGCTGAAGAAGCTTGGTCGCTTGCTAGAATGAGATGAATTTAGCAGATAGAACAATTCCATCGTCCCGATAGGTATCTTACCATTAGATGCTCCAGCTGAAGTGTACCCTCGGGCATATCATGGCTCTTGCACCACTCTTCGATGCGAGTAATGTTGTAATTGATCTGCAGGCCACGTTTCCAGGAGAGAAAGTTTCTCCGCATGAGAAGGTCATTGAATGCAGTGACACCGACAAGTCGGAGAAGCTCAGTGACCGTCTGTGTGATAATAGTCTCTTCCAAATAGAAAGCCTTCATTGCTTTGTAGACATTGTTCAAGAGACTGAGAAGGTTATCCATACTGTAGGCTGGGTTGTTGTTGGAGGGTAAGAGCTTCCCAAGAAACCTGTTTGTTTCGCTTGTAACGAACCCAGGGAGGGACTGGGATTCTATGATCGCCGGTACAATCATCTTGTAAAGCTTCTTCTTCAATACCTTCATCCACGTATGATAAATGTTGAACTCCAGGCTTTCGAGATCATGCTTCACAATCTCTAAAAGACGATCATACTCGAAATTATCCGTCTTTTGTGCCTCATACCAATCTTCGGCCAAGAAAACGAAAGACAACATTTCGTGGACATTCGAAAGCCAGAAGGCTCCAGGATTAATGGCATCCTCTCCATCATGCTGCATAACCTCTTGCTGGATTGACTGCATGACGTTGGCTAAGAAACGCTCGGACTCTTTCACAAAGCCATTGTTCCACATTTCGGAAGTCACTAAATTGATCAAATAAGCTGGGAACAAGACCTCCTTCTCCGTTGGTGGAGGCGTAGAGCTGGGTAGTGGGATTTTCAAATTGCGTATCAAGCCCATAGTCACCTCTTCATTGAGCTCATCTTCTTCAGACAACAAATTCTCGAGCTCTACCTCAACGGAGTCCAGGCCTGGAGAGAAAGCATTTCCCGAGAAATGCTGGCGGCCCATAGCCGAGCTAGGAATGGCCATCGACACTGGCCTCGGGTTATAGGCACCACTGAAACGATCAATATCGATCCGCTCAGCACCGGCACTTCGTCTTTTAGGCTTGGGCTTCTTGGAAGAAACGAGGTTTATCAAGCCGCTCGCAGGCGGCTGGATGGGCCCACCGTTCGGCTGGTCTCCATTTACGCCGTTGGCAGGCACAACCCTCTTTGCAAGTTCAAGCTGTTCTTCGAGATCGACTATCTGCTGACGAAGAGATGCCTTTTCGTTTTCAGCATCAGTATTCAGCTGCTGAAGTTTCTCCAACTCTTGGTTTGCAGTACGAATCGATTCCCGTGAGACCTTCTCTTCTTCCTGTAGACGCTTGATGGTTGCCTGCGCATCATTATGGTGCTGTTGTAACTTGTTCATTTCCTCCTCCATGGCAGTTAAGCGAGCAGCAGTAATACCTGCCTGGTTTGCTTCGGCCTGTAATTCTTTCGAACGGTTCTCGAGCACATTGTGTCGGCTTCTCCAAGACTTCACTTGTGTCTCATAGTTCTCCAGTTGCGAGTTGAGTGACTTATTTTCTCGCTTCAAGGATTCGAGGTACTGAGTCAACTCTACCACCTTATTTTCCAGCTTATAAGAGATCTGTTTGAGGTCCCGAGCATCCTCGCGGAGCTTTTTGTACTCTTTCCTGGCCTGCTTTCCTCTCCAGAGATTCTGGACAATGATCACTTTCCTGCGGTATTGTCTCCAGGCGCGTAGCTGTCGCCAGGAACGGAACGATCGCTGTATTACTTTGGCTGCATTGCCATGGATCGTGTCGAGGATATTCTGACGGCAAAGGAATCCCTTCGCAACTGACTGGAAAAGAATGAAATTGGCACGAATGCGGCTGTAATTCCGCCGCTCCTTCTGTCCTCGCCATACCCTCTGAATAGTCGTAGCTGCCTTGACCTGCCGTATCTCAGCTGCACGTTGCCTTGCCAAGAAACCTCTAATAAGAGCCTGTGTTGTGAGGATAGAGGCACGAGCCTCGAGATATCTGCGGCGGTAGTACTTGCATCGAAGGTTCTTCTGTATCATAACAGCACACCCATTCAATCTTGATGTGCGAAGATTCTCGAGAAAAGCAAGCATGCCTGCTCGAAAGAATATCTTCGTTAAACCCAGTTGGTATTTGTCTTGCTTTTGCTGGGTGCCATCCCCAAGAGCTTTTTGTAGAATGGCATGGCACATGTCCCTAATTTCTGACGTCCATTGCGATGAGTGACAAAGCATGTAGTACCGGATTGCAAATTCCTCGTATGTCCAGCGTGTAGGATATCCAGCAGTACTGATCCGTACAGTCTCAAGGACA